AATATATATTTAAAAACAGATGTGAAGCAAAGTACCTCAATTGGTAAGGAATCAGCCGCTAATGCACGGTCATCTGCAATAAGAGGATTCAAGCCATCACCAGTAGCAAGCTCATGAATGGCAGCTAAAACAGGACGCCACCTCCTTAATACAGCAACAAATGGTGGTAAAATAGCTTCAAGGTACTGTTTACGAAGAGGCTTTTGATCTCTGCTAACAGCATGGTATACCTGGCAGATGTTGTACTATAGTAACTACAATAGTTGTGCATAAGACAAATGACACATGTTGTGCACAGCAAAAGTAAGAATGAATGGTGAGGATGATAATACGAACCTCAGAATAAAGCACACAACAAGCTACCAAAACTCTTTGCCTCTTAGAATCAGAAATTGGCATGTTGAGAACAGGTGAGAGAACACTGTTCAAATTACAAATAAATAAATAAACAATATAAACCCTTCAATACTATCAGCTCAGTTATTTTAGGATGATGTTAATCATCGGCTAGATCATAAGAAATAAAGAAAAATTGGGAAATTCAATTAGGAAGACTGTTTTACAATCTATAGTATAATGTTTCAAATAGATGTAAAGAAAAAAAAGTATAAAAGTTCTATTTAGGGCTGGCAATAGGGGTGTGTAGAATTAACTAAACTGAATTGGACTGTCAAATAACTATACCAAACTGAATTGGACTGTCAAATAACTATACCAAACTGAATTGGACTGTCAAATATCTATACCATATTATACTAAAAATACTGCACTATTTACAATAAAAACTGAATTAAACCATTTTATAATTCAGTTTTAAAAAACTGAACCTCTGAAGTTGCAATTTAGTTAATTGCTCATTTACTTAAAACCACTTTGTTGATGAAACACTCAGTTAAATGCTCATTAACTAAATCTCTATAACATTTTTCTGCACAATTTTATTTCACTTGAAAACTTTTTGCCTACTTTTGTATTTATTATCACTCTCGTAGATATAGATTATTTTCTCTAACGAAAATTAGAATAATAGGTTCATTATAAAAAAATTATATTTACATATTTATGTACACGTGATACTTCTTACTATACACAAAAATAAATAATATCAAATTAGATAGTTTTACGTTTCATTTTTTATAAACTAATTGGAAAGTTTCAAGTTTCATTTTTTTTATATATTCATTGCTCTATATAAAAGCAAACCGAAATCGGGTTCATGAGAAGGTGAAAAGATAGAGAGTATCAGGGCTTGCAAATAAATAAAAAATATAATCAAATTAATACTTTAGTACCAATGAACAACATCATTGAGGAGCAAGGTGGCCTATTTAAGATTATTCGGATTTCTGTACGAAGTATAGACATTTGATAGCATGTATGTCTTAAGATTCATTCCATTAGTGATGTCTTTTAAAAATAAGCTAATTGATTATTAAAAATAAGCTATTTCTTTGCTAAATGTTATCTAAATTAAAATATCTATAAATCAAGTATTTAACTTTAAGATATATTATTCATCTAGAAAATGTAATCTGGGGATGTGAAATAGGAATAGAATAATATAAAAATAGTCATATAATAATATTAAAAAAATGCAAAGCACATTTATTATAGTAAAAAAAACATGGAGTTCAGTACAATTTAGAGCAGTGTAGTTTAGAAGAACAAAAGATAGTTCAGAGTTCAGGCAAACTATTTTTTGGTTTATTACAGTTTTTAACATTCTAAATCAGTAAAGTTCATTTTATCCACCCCTAGATATCGATGACTGGAAAAACTGCTATGCTGTACCATTATGGTACTGCCATAACCACCATTTGATAACACTGCCTAGAGTTAAAAACTTTTGCAGTGGAAATAAACATGTGGATGATATTTTAATGAAGCCTAATTTGAACTAAGGGGAGTGTTGTAGATAATTCAGATAGTGTTGTATGTTAGGCAGGTAGTTCGTGGGCTTTTAACTAACTGCTTCTTACAATACTATAAATAGGAATTCTATATTGTTTTATGTGTGAAAAATAACATTTCAAAGTCAGAACCCATATCTTGGTCTCTCTGTCTTTCTACCCCTTTTATTCTGTTTTTGTGTGTATGTTCAGTATGTGCTCTAACAGTTCAATTGCCACTGATCATTTATGGATAAAAAATATGAACTACATATATACGTGAAAATTGAATAGGTTTGTTTTACCTCCACAACAGTGCCGACCGTGGCTTTCTTCCTTCAGATACTGAATCATCAAAACTTGTATTTCTCATGAGCATGCGATCTTCACCATCATCGTCTTCTCTCATCGATAGAAGAACCATTCGAAGCATGCACAAAAAAGGCTGGTCACTGTCTAGTAGCTGGTACAATGCAGCCATCCCTCCCATTCCTGTACCTGATCCCCCACCTATACCAAGACCACCACCAAGCCCAGACTCATCCAGCAATAAGGCTTGGAGCATTGCCACAGACTTTTTCACCAAGGGAAGCTCAATCCACTTTCCGTTTGCATCTTTCTCCAGAGCAGACTTCCAAAAATCCCATCCACTCCCACCACCACCAAATAAAGCTGGATTTGCAGAAAGGTTGACACCATACCACAACCGGCTCCTGTATTTCCATCCATCTGCTAAATCCTTAGCACAAGACCCATATGACACAAAAGCACAAGAAACAGATCCATAAGGCTCAGCTGCTGCAGCTGCAGCAAGCCTCTCCATCACTGAGGATGGGATCTGGCCACTTTCGTCAGCCATGGATGAAAGGACCTAAAATTATCATGAAAGCATTAGTTTCACCAATACAAAAATAAATGAAAACGTGGAGAACTATACTTTCAAAGTAACATGAATGCTAATAAAAGGAATAGCAAGGAAAATAAAAGGAATAGTAAGGAAATAAAAGAAATAATCTATCCATATTTTCTTAATGCTGAAGAATGCACAATGAAGTTAGAAATAAGAAGAAAGCAAAGAAGGTATGGAAAAATAATACTTTGGTTTATATCATAAAAGTATTTGGAGAAAATGACACAGCCAGATCACCAAGGAAAGGATTTTGTAGGAATGACAGAAACAGTATTGTGGATCTATATAATAAAAACTACTCATCAGTATTTATTTCTAACATGCATGCAAGTGCAGTTTTAAATTACTTATGCATACATCTAGGGCAACTCCCTCAGAGTCACTAGTTTCTAATGACTCTTCAATAGTCGACAATGAAATTCGGCTACTACTGTTTTGATACTCAGTAGAAATTGGAGAAGGTGAAGCATCTGCAGCACGTGTAGAAGAGGATTGTTTGCTTTGTAGTCGTAAATGATCTTCAACAAGCATAAGAATCACAATGGCATTCTCCACTAAAGCCACAGACAACTGAGCAGCATTATCAGCTTCAGTCTTAGCTTCTCTTGGCGACAAACCCCCAGCCGCAACACCAGCTGCAGCCGCAGCAATAATTTGAGTCTGCATTAAGTAAAAGATGTGTGTAGTCATTATTTATGTTTTTTCTTCACCGCCATAGCAAAAACAAGTTTCAAGTGGTTAGGAGCTAGTTACCATCTCAGCAAAGTTAGTTAAGAATAAGAAAGGTTTTTATAAATACATTTTGGGTGGGTCTAGAGGAAGGGCAAGAAAAATGTATGTTGGGAGGAGACTGTGTTCTTTCAGTAACAGCTTATATTGAAGGAAATATATATTCTTTGTCTTTCTGATCTCAGTAAACTTCATCTTTCTTAAGTTTCTGATCCAGTTTCTATATCAGAAACTGATGTGAAATTTTTTATTACTTTTATTCTATATAAATCTGAATACAAAGGAGCCTTTATAGAAGCTACCCTTGAAAGCAAAAAGACCAAATAACCCAAAACTGATTCAACAAAAGGGACAGTAGGAAATAAAAAACCAGAGAGAGAAAATGTAACAGAAAGATACAGAGAGATAAAAGAATACCTCTTATTTTCTTTTATTCTAATATATTATGATAAACACGGTTTTAATATCAATTTGTGCTTATGCATAAGTGGGATTTGTTTATTAAGTGTGCATACACATTTAAAACCTTAAATAACTGGAGGCAAAAGAATATAAGAATGAATAACAAATCAAGCCAAGGCGTTTAATGTACAAAACCCTTCATAGGAAAATCAAAAAGAATAGAAAATAAATATATACCTGAACCTGCAATTCCCTTGCAGCAAAATCTAGCAAGCCTCCTAGGAGTTTCCTCTTAAAAATAGGTAATGCTTCTTCACGTCTTAAAGACAGAAATTAACCCAGACATGAATATTAGATAAATGACATGAAACAAGTAACTGTAAACTGCCACTTTAAACATTCAATCAATACTAGGGAATAATATGATAGTATAGAAGGAGATTGTAAAACTCCTCAAAACCCTCAATAATCTTTTCTACAAACCTAGATTAGAATGATCACTCTATAGATCAATTTCTTAGTTTCTAACGCAATTCGATTCCTAGTCAACCAATGTGCAATCTATATCCCCATTGTTTCATCATAATTCATCAAGTGTTAGCAACTTTTATACAAATTTAAAATTTATCAAATCCTGGTGCCAAACACCACTGGAAAATATGAGCCAGTAGCATTTATAATTGAAACATGGTGACATGATAATTTCCAAACATAATACTTCACAGAACTTGTAGAAAAGAGGTATCTTCCAAATTTGTTACGATGTCATAAGTGTGATGTCAAGGACCAACTTTACAAAAACCAAACTGTGAGGAAAAAACTTGTCATTGGTTGCATAACTAATGGGGAAAATTCAAAATCACATTGATTGAGATGTTGGAGTGACTGAAGGGGAGGCAACTCTCACCCCTTGAACCACCTTGAAGGGTTGAGTTAAATCTAAACGCAAAAATTTAAGAATATCCAATATACCACCCACTCACTCTAGAGCCATTTGGGCTTGTGCATAGAGAAAGCAGGTTCACCCTACATTGTGCCGAAATTTATGCTGAATTAGAATGGGAAGAGGATTGAACTTCTAAAAATTTGGTTAAAAGGCTTTAATGCCACGTCAGTTACCAACTCCCTTAAAGGATTGCACTGTTACATACACATACAGCCTAATGAATGGTTTTATATTGAATATATATTTTCAAACTAAAAAACAGTTAAATGTTTAGCTTGAAAATAATGACAAACAACATCGAAATAAAATGAAATAGAATAAAACTCAAGTTCAGTAACAGTCAAATCACATTATAGAAGAACTTGAGAAGTAATCACTTGAGCTCATAATGGACACGCAAACTTACCTTACTCGTTGTTCTCCTGTGCTAGATCCACCAACCATAGAAAGCCATTCTGAACAATGAATTGTTGCTTCAATATCCTGGACAAAATGAACAGCACTGGGCAGTCTGAATTACTCTGACAAAACCAGAAATCATGCAAGCAAACAAATACATATAATAAAAGGGAAATTCCGGATGACTGATATTTTGTGATGACTAAGGCTGTGCATGGTGATCTATTTGGAGCCTTGTAAATGGGAGAGCCACTTTCCAAAGTTAAAAACATAGAAGGAAGGGAGGAGATCGATTGGCATTTAGTTGAACCAGATAGTGTTCCAAACACACTAATAAGTCCCACTATATTGAAATTCCAGGTCAAGGACAAAAGTTTACTCCCTAGGGATGACTACAATTATGCGATAACAAAATAAAATACTAGCAGTCTTACAATGAAATTTCAATACTTCAATAGATAATTCATTGCTCAAAAAGAACTGGTTTAGAAAACATCCAAAACATTCTCACTAGACCACAAGAACAAGATATGAGCTATCAAATAGAAGCTCTGTCACATTTTTCAACCTCTGACCTCCAATATTCATTTGATTTCTTTATTTAGAAGAAATTATCCCCCGCTTGTATTTTTCTCTTCACTTGAATGAAATTTCTTCCTTTACCATGAAGATAAAAAGTTAAAGAAGTAGTGTGTATATCTAAAATCCCAAATAAGCCACTTGGAATCGAAAGGATTTGCACATTTATTGCAACCACAAGAAATGTCTAATATTTGATGTTGAAAATTTATAACACCATCCAATGAAATAAAAGATTAATAAAGATATTGGAAACACGTAAACATTAAGTCCGACCAGGATGCTGTCAACAGAAGCATACTCAAAGAGAAAACTGGGCAACAGTTGGCAGTAACATCAATAAGGTGAAGACATGAAAGAAGTGAACAATTCTAACAAATATCAACCTTCCATCCATCCTTTTGGCGCATTGAGTGCTCTAGCATGATACTAAGGAAATTATGTATAAGGTCTTCTATGTCTCCATCTCCAATGGTCGTTGAATGAGATAATTTACCAGAATCAACCTGTCAAACAGAAGTGCACAAGTTGAACAGTTAAAGAGTCTTCCCAACAACCTTACAAATGTGTATTGCACAAGAAAATGGCATGAATTTATTGTGTTCGTAAGACAAATATAAGAGATAAATGAAGACAAAACCATAAATAGAGAAAAAGATAGGATTAGAACTTTGGTTTTTATTAATATTATTACCTCGTAATTCGAGATCAGAATTTCAAGAATCCACTCAGGCCATTCTTCCATGCTTATCAGACTGCTTCTATTTTCAGGATGACTGCAAGCCAAAAATAGAAGATCCTGAAATCATACACACAAAACAACTTAAAGCCAGTTGGTATTAAAAAGATGTCAGGTAGGGAATATGTCCATAAGTGCAAGCCTTACTTCCTCTGAAAAGCTCCATAGATAATTTTCATTATAGTTGTGGCATATACAAGAACCTTATTTAAGTTGGACAAAAAATACTTAAGCCATTAAAGAAGAATTATAAATTGGCGTCGAATACTACCTGGAGTGGTTGTCCTATATATACACTAAACCAAAAACTCAAGAAAGTCAAAATCCGAATTGGAATGTAGAATAAAGGTACATGAAAAGGAGGAACTGGCTCTCCTAAAGGTACAAACTATAAAATTGGAAATTAATAAGATAAAAGAATATGAGGAAAGCACAAATTGATAAGGAGAACATATTTGAATAATGCCTTAATGTATCAGGAGGTGTTTTGGAAAGAAAAGATGTAGACTTAAATTGTAGAAAGGAGAGAGGAATACCAAGTTCTTTCATAACAAATCTTCTATTTGAAATTCTGTTAATAGAATTTCTTTCTCAAGCATGATTCAACATTGATCTCTGATAAATTAGAAATGGAAGAGAATGTGATGGAGCATTTTAAGAATATTTTGTGACAATGACTGTTCCAGTCCTTCAAGTCCTATTATCAGTGAGGTGATTCCTAAGACGGTGTATGCAGTTGATAACATGGTGCTAGTTCAAATGCCTTCTATGTCAGATGTTAAGGAAGCTATGTTTAATCTTTGCCCAACAAGTTCACAGGGCCTGACGGATTTATGGTGTCTTTAATCATATTGGGATGTAATCCAACCTGATGATAATGTCATGCAGATCATTGAATAAGGGTGGATGTTGCAAAATTGTAACTCAAACCATTGATTGCTAAGGAACCTAGTGCCAATGAGATTGGTAAATTCATACCTATTGCACTAGCAAAGTTTAAATATAAAACCATTTCAGAGATTATAACATATGGTTGGTCAAGATCACTGATAAACTGATTTCTTCTCAACAAAGAGGATTCATGCAGGGAAGAAGTATCCTGGATTGTACAGAAACAGTGTCTGTACCAATTAATTTACTAGATAGAAAGTGTTTTGCATGAGATATTGCCAACAAAATTGATATAAAAAGACCTTTGTTAGAGAGATTAATCCCAAACCTATTTTTCATTATGTTCAATATGGTATTAAAGTCATTGTTAGAGCCTATCCTAGTGAAATTTCTTGTTTGTTGGACACATTGTTCCACCTGCTATCAAACCACCCATTAATGTCAAGTCTCACGCTCAAGATGTATATATCTCGGCGTGAGGGGAGTGTGTTGGAAGTCTAACATCGATTAGAGATAATGATGACTTGGGTCCAAACAATGGATCCATCACTAGGAACATGGATCAAAGGGTTCAAGAAGGTTGAGAAGACTCCATGACAAGAGAAGGGCCGATCACATTACTTTGGAAATGGGAACGTCAACTGCTCAACGAACTTTGATCAATGCTTAGGGTGATCCCACTCAACTGCATCAAACGTCGCTTAGTGCAGACTCCTAGAGAGCACCCTAGCATGCTTCTCGAATGACCGTCACCCAACGTTCCTGCCTCGCGCCCAACGACTGCCTCTCGCGCCAATGCTTTGGAGTTCCCAGCAACACGTTTTGATCATCTTCCTAACTTAAGAATTATACTATAAAATAATTCTAGAGGGCTTGATTGATCCCTCTCATAATTTTCTATTTATAAAAATAAATTGATACAAGAGTACATGATAAATAGGTTAACTTTAAACACAATATAATCATGATAAATAGGATAACCCTTGACACAATATAATGAGAATAAATAGGATAAATATCCTAACACTCCCCCTAGCTGGAACATACAAATTGTATGTACCAAGCTTGGAATAAATAAACTACGAGTTGATCGTTTGACCCAATAAACTTAGTACATATTTCTTTAGTCAACAACTTTTCACGAACAAAATGACAATCAATTTCTATAAGTTTAGTCCTCTCGTGAAACACTGGATTTGATGCAATGTGGAGAGCAGCTTGATTATCACAATACATCTTCATAGTATAGATGTCACAAAATTTAAACTCTTGAAAGAATTGTTTCACCCATATAAGTTCACATGTTAGTGACGCCATTGCCCTATAGTCGGCTTCAGCTGTTGATCGAGCTACTAGATTTTGTTTCTTACTTTTCCATGAAATAATGTTTTCTCCCAGACTAACACAATATCCTATAGTAGACCGTCTATCAATAAGCGAACCTGCCCAATCTGCATCACAATACCAAAAGACCTGAATGCTTCCTTTATCTTCATATAACAATCCTTGCTCGGGAGCCTTCTTTACATACCTTAGAATGCGAATGAGAGCATTTCAATGGTCAACACATGGAGCCTGCATGAACTGACTAACCACTCTAACTGCAAAGGATAGATCTGGCCTTGTAATAGTGAGATAAATCAGTTTACCAACCAGCCTCCTATACCTCTCTGGATAGAAGAATAATTCACCTTCTTCTGTACTTAATTTCTGGTTTGGGTCCATGGGACTGTATACCGGTCTACAATCAATCATGCCTGTTTCTTGTAATATATCAAGAGCATACTTCCTTTGGGAGATTATAACTCCATCTTTTGATTGCGCTACTTCAATGCCTAAGAAGTATTTGAGACTTCCAAGATCCTTGATTTGAAAATGTCTACACAAGTACTCTTTTATTTGAGATATTCAAATAACATCATTTCCTATAATGACAATATCATCAACATATACTATTAAGTAAACACATTTTCCGAGAGAAGAATGACAGTAAAAAACTGAATGGTCTGCTTCATTGCATTTTATCCCAAATTTTTGAAAAATGGCCAAATTTTTCAACAATGGAGCTAAACTTTCCAAACCAAGCACGTGGGGATTGCTTGAGGCCATATAGAGATCGATGCAATTTGCATACCATACCAGACTCCCCCTGAGCAACAAACCCAGGAGGTTGCTCCATATAAACTTCTTCCTCAAGATCACCATATAGGAAGACATTCTTGATATACAATTGATGAAGTGGCCAGCGACGAATGGCTGCCATGGCAAAGAAGAGGCAAATAGTAGTCATCTTGGCTACAGGAGAGAAAGTGTCACAATAATCAAGAGCATAAACCTGAGTGTAACCTTTTGCCATAAGCCGAGCTTTGAGCCGATCAATTTCACCATCAGGGCCGACTTTAAGTGCATACACCCATTAACAACCAACCGCCTTTTTGCCCGGGGGAAGGGGCACCAACTCCCAAGTATTACTGTGGTCAAGTGTCTGCATTTTTGCAATCATAGCTTGTCGCCATCCAGGATGATCAAGTGATTCTTTCACATTCTTGGGTATAACAACAGAGGACATTGAGAATAAAAAAGAAAAATAGGAGGGTGACAATCGATGATAGCTAAGAAAATAATAAATGGGATGAGGGTTTCGAGTGGAACGAGTACCTTTTCTGAGGGCAATAGGCCATGCTGAATGATTTTAACCAGGACGCGTGGGAAGAGGTGACGAGGGAGAAGAATCTGAAGTAGGAGATTCACCATTGTCTTGGGGAGGTGGACTATCCATTGGGGCCCTGTGTGGGATGATCTCAGTATGTGGAGAAGCGGATATAGGAGGATTGTGATCAAGACTTGGAATGACAGAGATAGTGGAGCTATTTGACTCAGCCATTGGAATAGGAAGGACCTGCTGGAGGATAGAAAAATCCTGAATAGATGGAGAGAAGTAAGGAGTCTGTTCAAAGAATGTGACATTGACAAACATGTAATACTTCTTAGTTTCAGGAGAGTAACATCGATATCCTTTTTCAAGTCGAGAATAGCCTAAGAAGACACATTTGAGAGCGCAAGCGAAGAGTTTGTCTAGACCTGGAGACATGTCATGAACAAAACATACACAGCCAAACACTCGGGAAGATGTATGAAAGAGTGGATCATTACGAAACAAAATGGAGAAAGGGACTTTATTATCAAGAGAGGAGGAGGGCATCCTATTAATAAGATAACATGCAGTTAAGATGGCATCCCCCAGTGGTGGACAGGAATATGGGCACCAAGCAAAAGGGTATGGGCAGTTTCAACCAAGTGTTTATTTTTTTGTTCTGCTATACCATTTTTTTACGGTGAGGACAAGTAGACTGATATAAGATACCATGGGAACTCAAAATGGCAGAAAAGGAGGATGAGAAATACTCTTTTGCATTATCACTTCTTAATATTTTGATTACTTGACCAAATTGATTCTTGATTTCATTCAAAAACGATGTAAAGATAGCTAATAATTCAGAACCATTTTTCATAAGATAAACCCAAGTACATATTGAATATTCATCAATAAAGGTAACAAAATATCTAAACCCAAGTACGACTAGATCCCCATATATCAGAATGGATGATGGAAAAACTAGAATTACATATTGATTGAGACCTTTTAGGAAAGGAAGATCTAACATGTTTTCCTAATTGACATGACTCACCTTCTAAGGTTTGAAGACCACTAAGTTCAGGACACATCTTTTTTAATTTGGACAAATGAGGATGGCCAAGTCAATCATGTAGCACTTTAGGATTAGGAGCAGCAACACAGGACGCCCTTGGACGAGATCTAGAATGGAATATTCCGCCAGTTTCATATCCTTCTCTAATTTGTCTCCCCGAACCACGCTTCTGTCTAACAAAAGATTTATGATCAAAGGTTATTGAACAATTTAACATTTTGGTCAATTGGCTTAGGGAAATTAAATTAAAAGGACAATTAGGAACAAAAAGGACGGAGTTGAGATTGAGGGAGGGAGACAAAGAAACATGACCGACTCTTTTGAAGGAATTTTTAGATCCATTTGCAAGGGTTATGAAATGAAGTTTTTCTCGAAAAGAAATACATGATAACAAAGAGGTATTACCAAAAATGTGATCAGAAGCACCTGAGACAATTACCCATGAATTTTGACCTTCCATAGATTGAGAAACGCATACTGGGAGATTGAGATGGTTGTGCCAAGTTGTTAGACTTTAACCTTAAATACTCTTGATATTCATCCTCGAAAAACTTAGAAGTGGAAGTTTATGTCTTCGAAGTGGAAGTTTCAGTCTTCGAAATATTGGCGGTTTTGGAAGGGAAACCATATAAGGAGTAGGAATTCTCTTGAGTGCGACCCATCCTTTTACAGTATGTGCATTGAGGACGTCCCCAACCTCCTCGTCCTCCTCCTCTAGTGCCACGTCCTCCTCTTCCTCGTGTGGCAACCATTACAGATGGTTCCACTAGTTCATGCGCTTCTTGAGTTTGAGGTATCGGCACAAGCAGAAGGCAAGTGGTCAATGTTTCCATGGAGGGGACCTCATGACTGGTTAGAAGTTGATCTCTGAGATGATCAAAATCGAGATGTAGGGCACGAAGGATCAACACCATGGAAAATTTATCTAGTTTCTTTTTGATATCCTCTAATTGGTCCGCTTCCAAAAACATCCTGAATTCTTCGACAGCAGATTGGGCTTTAGCTATGAATGACACCATATCATGGTCTGCCATTTAGCTTTTCGGAGGTAATTGATGGACTTCCCGAGAAGGAAAGAGTACTGTCAGACGCCATCTCTGAAGAAGACGAATAGTACCAATGAGGAACAAGAAAACCTTAAGGGTTTAGACAGATGGAGCTGTGACGGCGGTAGAGGACGGCCGGCGACGGATGGCGGCAACGGCAGACGGTGGCCGGCCGGCGATCGACCGGCGGGCAGCGGCAAACGGTGGCAATCGGCGATGGACGGTGGCCAGCGGCGGGCAGTGGTGGACGGTGGCGTGTGGCGCTGGACAGATGCTACAAGACAGAAATCAGAGCGGGATTGACCCGCTTTGATACCAACTTGAGAAGTAAACTGTAAAATAATTCTAGAGGGCTTGATTGATCCCTCTCATAATCTTCTATTTATAAAAATAAATTGATACAAGAGTACATGATAATTAGGGTAACCCTAGACACAATATAGTCATGATAAATAAGGTAACCCTTGACACAATATAATGATGATAAATAGGATAAATATCCTAACATCCTACATGTTTAACAAGTTTTTCGTGCAAAGCCACGTGTCCTGTCAACCCTGAATCACGACTTAGGGGAATAGTTTAGGGTCAAATTGGAGGTTGAATATGCTATAAATTTAGTGTTCAACCCTTGTAAACAAAACTTTTGGAATATACTGAAATGCTTCCGAGATTACTCCAACCTTTCTTCTTTCAAGAGTCCCTTGCTTGAGAGCTTCTTAAGCCTCCTCTAGCCCCCTTCCCCTAGATAGGATCTACCTTTTCAGGACTTACAACACCATTGATCTCATTTCACTCATTATACACAACACCACCTTTGTTTTTATCATCCGCTGCATCATTCTTCATGTGTTATGTCGAATGAGCTTGGCAACTAGTTTTCCATGGCTCATCAGATAAGGTTTTCGAGTATATATGTTGATGCAAACCTCACCTTACAAGCCGGTTTTGTTGGATTAAGTTAAGCTTGTGCACTTCTTAACAGGGTGTAAGGCAAGGAGATCCTTATCTCCTTCTCTGTTTTGTATGGCAAAGGAAGTTACAAATAGAAACATAATTTTCCATGATTTAGATGGAAAAATAAGGGCTGCTCGACCAAGACAAATTGATTTTCCCATACACGCTTCATATGATGATGACACTGATTTTTTGAAGGTGTGGAATGAAAAATATGAGCAACATTATGGATGATTTACACAAATATGGAAAAGTCTTGGATCAGACAATGAATAATAGCAAATCTAAATTCTATGTTTGGAATAACCTGCTGTGGTTTGGGAAGTTTCATCTATTCTAGGTTTCTCACAAGAACTACTGTCTTTTGTATACCTTGGTGTACCTACTTTGAAGGGCAAGCCAAAGTTACATCGTTTGATGCCAATTACTGACATAATTAAGGAAAAACTAACCAAATGGAAAACTTGTTTACTCCCATAAAGGGCAAGGTTATGCAGGTCAAGTCTATGATACAAAGCATGCTTTTCTTCCGTTTTCAAATATATAGATGGCTTAAGACAATATGGAAAACAATTGAGAGCTGGTTTATAAATTTTATTTGGACTAGTAATATTACCCTGGTTACAGAAACTTCTGTACCATGGATATTGTTTATAAGCCTTGTAAGGAAGGAGGACTAGGATTAAGTTCTATAGAAGATATTAATGAAGCATCTATGTTAAAACTGAGCTGGGAGTCAATGAAATGGAAATCTAAAATGGGAAAAGTTTTAGCAGGTTGTGTTCAGGCCATCTGGCTCGGTAGTTTCTTTTGTATGCACTTCTATTTAGGTAGGTTTGAAAAACAACTTTCATTTGGTAAAGAAAAATACAACTTGGCAAATTGAAAATGGAAAATCAGTTAACTCACACCAGATACAATGAAATACTACCCACATTAGTAGTCACTGATGAGGTTAGATGGAAACATTCCTTGGGTGATGGAGAAGTCAGTTCTGCAGATGCTTGTTCATTTGTTTAGCAATCAAAGCTGGAAGTTTTATAGGGAAAAAAAGATTAGGAATGAAGTCGTTCACTGTCAAAATCTTACACTAAGTGGAGGCTAATTAACTGTTGATGACTTATTCAAAAAGTGGGCAGTGGCACTATTATTGTCTCAAAATCAACTAGTAAGTTGAAATTTGCACCTACTTCTATATTATAGTTTAGTCATATTTTTCAGTATATATGAGATCTCCAAGCTACCTTACGTTGAAAACAAGACATCTCAAGCATGGGAATAAAGTGCAGTCTAATAACGAATAGCATGATATGCCCAATAAACCTTGTTAAGGCTTTGATACCATAATAGAATGTGGACTTTAAATTTAACATAACCTAACAAAATTGGCTTATAAGATGAGTTTACACTCACTTGTATATCTAGTAGATATGGAATCTCCAACGGATGGTAATGGTGTTTTCCAAACACAATTTGATTCCTTACAACCTCCTCCTGGTTATTTACCTTCCAAATCACTTATCATAACAAGTGAACTTTAAGCCTAATCTAATATCACAAAACCAACTTATAAAGTGATATTTGCATCCAGTCATATATTACAATTTGGTTATATCTCTGGTGTGAGAACTTCAACAAACTCTAGCCATTCTATTAACAAACTATAATAACTATCCAAACTAAATCCCAACCTCCCAAGAGTTGAACATTAATTAGGGCAGGAGTCCAAGAAAAAAAGAGCAATAATGAGAAAGCTAGAAAAAATATGTCACAGACAGAGTTTTCTCTTAATTGAGACCAATTACAATATATGAAGCTACAGCTGTCTTTCCGGATGATAACAAATCAAACAGTCAAATCCATTAAAACTAAATCTAAATGTAACAGATAAAAGAAGTACTATAAATTAAGGGGGGAGACTGCTAAAAATCATGGTTGACAAGCAAATTTAGATTTTCACAACCAATCTTGTCTTTTATTTTAGTTTTGCACCAGCCTAGGTCAATAAATGTCTGTGTTCCAGCATTATCTTTCGAATCTTAATGTAGCAGCAAACTTAAGCCCATATAAAATCTTTAAAATGCCAGAAACTGAAATGCATGAACTAAGCAGTACATTAATGTACAAGTGAGCTGTACTGAGAATTTCATCATAAAACAATACACATGAAACAGCAAACACCTCATAAATCATATAAAACACAACTTATAAACAATAGATGCATGACTGTTAAGCTAATACCTGTAGCGCTCTGCTCTGTAGAGGCCTAGGTGCAAATGGAAGCGAATGCAAAAGCACCAACAAAAGTTGTGAATGCTCAAAGCGATGGCCAGAATCATAGAAATTTAGCCCATCCTCTGAAGAAGAGGCATTGATCTGAAAAGGAGAGAAAACAAAGAAAAATGAAAACATCAAAAAATGAGGACAGTAACCTGATCACCTAATGACATTTTTAAACATACATCTCGAATAAGCATTCAAAGAGACTTGAAGTCTTCTATATATTTTCATTCATTTGCATTGGGTCATGGTTAATAAGAGGACATTTTACATTAATATTAGCAAATATCCTTCTCCCTTCAACTAGTAATTTTCCTTTTCTTAAGAAAAATAGCGTGTATTTAAAAAGTCCCCCCTAAAAAAAGATCAAGTATTGAGAAATTAATTCAACAAACTGGAATGGCCAATGTCATGGTATGACTTTTTACCTTCAAATATTAAGTTTGATTTCTTTATAAATCATTTAAGCCTCTCTAAGTTTAGCTTTTGTTGGTGCTTGGAGGTTTTTTCTCTTGCATGAGTTTTGATCTGATCCCCTCATACTTTTTTTATCTTTTTGATTTTCTTTTTTATGGAGTTTTCATGTGGTGGCATGTGATTGATGGAGTTTTAAGATGCTAACCTAATTGAGTTGTTAAATTCTCATTGTGATGCCTAACATGATTTTATAAAATAAAAGAAGAATAGGCTTATAGTGAATAAATTATGGTAAAGACATTGACACAACTTTTATCAAAAAATTGTAAAATGAAAGGACAATTGCCATATCATGAAGGAAGGTAGCCATACCGAGGCGGCCAACAAAGATGTGTAAACATTGTTGGTCATTAGCCTGTTGGGTGCTGCTTCAAATGCCTTTTGTAAAGCAAAAAGTAGAAGAGAGACCTTGTCTTCAAACATAGTACCACCTTTGTCATGGAGTCCAACACCCAAAAGGTTGCTTGTTGTATCAGGACCAGCAGAGGAACCAATTCTCAGATGTCCTGAAGCTACTAATGCACCTAAGAGACCTATGATTCCAACAACAATCCCATCACTTTTATCAACATTGTAAACATTTTTTCTAGCACTGTCTGCACTAATGGATAGGCTTATGCCTCCCAAATTCTTGACAGAAGGAATTTCAGAGGCAAATACAGGAGAAATAGGATCTGGGCTACTGCCACTATCAACAGATAGAGAACCGTGGTCATTGTCTTGTAAGATGGCTTCATTTTTCTCCTTCGATCCTTCATCCTCTTGACTTCCTTTTGTCATTTCATTACCACCATCAATCTCAGTTTTGTGAAGTTTAGGATTCGTTGACCATGAATCCAGGACACCATTATCTCCAGCTTTAGCTTCCCTCTGGAGCAGAACAAGAAGAGTTTCTACACCACCACATGCCAGGAATTCTTCTGCAAATGTGTGAGCTCTAGATGCATTTGGCTGGACAACCAATCTGTAGAAAAGATGCAGCACCCTAGCAACCTGAAATTGAAGAAATAATTAATTAGTNAGGGAAATTAAATTAAAAGGACAATTAGGAACAAAAAGGACGGAGTTGAGATTGAGGGAGGGAGACAAAGAAACATGACCGACTCTTTTGAAGGAATTTTTAGATCCATTTGCAAGGGTTATGAAATGAAGTTTTTCTCGAAAAGAAATACATGATAACAAAGAGGTATTACCAAAAATGTGATCAGAAGCACCTGAGACAATTACCCATGAATTTTGACCTTCCATAGATTGAGAAACGCATACTGGGAGATTGAGATGGTTGTGCCAAGTTGTTAGACTTTAACCTTAAATACTCTTGATATTCATCCTCGAAAAACTTAGAAGTGGAAGTTTATGTCTTCGAAGTGGAAGTTTCAGTCTTCGAAATATTGGCGGTTTTGGAAGGGAAACCATATAAGGAGTAGGAATTCTCTTGAGTGCGACCCATCCTTTTACAGTATGTGCATTGAGGACGTCCCCAACCTCCTCGTCCTCCTCCTCTAGTGCCACGTCCTCCTCTTCCTCGTGTGGCAACCATAACAGATGGTTCCACTAGTTCATGCGCTTCTTGAGTTTGAGGTATCGGCACAAGCAGAAGGCAAGTGGTCAATGTTTCCATGGAGGGGACCTCATGACTGGTTAGAAGTTGATCTCTGAGATGATCAAAATCGAGATGTAGGGCACGAAGGATCAACACCATGGAAAATTTATCTAGTTTCTTTTTGATATCCTCTAATTGGTCCGCTTCCAAAAACATCCTGAATTCTTCGACAGCAGATTGGGCTTTAGCTATGAATGACACCATATCATGGTCTGCCATTTAGCTTTTCGGAGGTAATTGATGGACTTCCCGAGAAGGAAAGAGTACTGTCAGACGCCATCTCTGAAGAAGACGAATAGTACCAATGAGGAACAAGAAAACCTTAAGGGTTTAGACAGATGGAGCTGTGACGGCGGTAGAGGACGGCCGGCGACGGATGGCGGCAACGGCAGACGGTGGCCGGCCGGCGATCGACCGGCGGGCAGCGGCAAACGGTGGCAATCGGCGATGGACGGTGGCCAGCGGCGGGCAGTGGTGGACGGTGGCGTGTGGCGCTGGACAGATGCTACAAGACAGAAATCAGAGCGGGATTGACCCGCTTTGATACCAACTTGAGAAGTAAACTGTAAAATAATTCTAGAGGGCTTGATTGATCCCTCTCATAATCTTCTATTTATAAAAATAAATTGATACAAGAGTACATGATAATTAGGGTAACCCTAGACACAATATAATCATGATAAATAAGGTAACCCTTGACACAATATAATGATGATAAATAGGATAAATATCCTAACATCCTACATGTTTAACAAGTTTTTCGTGCAAAGCCACGTGTCCTGTCAACCCTGAATCACGACTTAGGGGAATAGTTTAGGGTCAAATTGGAGGTTGAATATGCTATAAATTTAGTGTTCAACCCTTGTAAACAAAACTTTTGGAATATACTGAAATGCTTCCGAGATTACTCCAACCTTTCTTCTTTCAAGAGTCCCTTGCTTGAGAGCTTCTTAAGCCTCCTCTAGCCCCCTTCCCCTAGATAGGATCTACCTTTTCAGGACTTACAACACCATTGATCTCATTTCACTCATTATACACAACACCACCTTTGTTTTTATCATCCGCTGCATCATTCTTCATGTGTTATGTCGAATGAGCTTGGCAACTAGTTTTCCATGGCTCATCAGATAAGGTTTTCGAGTATATATGTTGATGCAAACCTCACCTTACAAGCCGGTTTTGTTGGATTAAGTTAAGCTTGTGCACTTCTTAACAGGGTGTAAGGCAAGGAGATCCTTATCTCCTTCTCTGTTTTGTATGGCAAAGGAAGTTACAAATAGAAACATAATTTTCCATGATTTAGATGGAAAAATAAGGGCTGCTCGACCAAGACAAATTGATTTTCCCATACACGCTTCATATGATGATGACACTGATTTTTTGAAGGTGTGGAATGAAAAATATGAGCAACATTATGGATGATTTACACAAATATGGAAAAGTCTTGGATCAGACAATGAATAATAGCAAATCTAAATTCTATGTTTGGAATAACCTGCTGTGGTTTGGGAAGTTTCATCTATTCTAGGTTTCTCACAAGAACTACTGTCTTTTGTATACCTTGGTGTACCTACTTTGAAGGGCAAGCCAAAGTTACATCGTTTGATGCCAATTACTGACATAATTAAGGAAAAACTAACCAAATGGAAAACTTGTTTACTCCCATAAAGGGCAAGGTTATGCAGGTCAAGTCTATGATACAAAGCATGCTTTTCTTCCGTTTTCAAATATATAGATGGCTTAAGACAATATGGAAAACAATTGAGAGCTGGTTTATAAATTTTATTTGGACTAGTAATATTACCCTGGTTACAGAAACTTCTGTACCATGGATATTGTTTATAAGCCTTGTAAGGAAGGAGGACTAGGATTAAGTTCTATAGAAGATATTAATGAAGCATCTATGTTAAAACTGAGCTGGGAGTCAATGAAATGGAAATCTAAAATGGGAAAAGTTTTAGCAGGTTGTGTTCAGGCCATCTGGCTCGGTAGTTTCTTTTGTATGCACTTCTATTTAGGTAGGTTTGAAAAACAACTTTCATTTGGTAAAGAAAAATACAACTTGGCAAATTGAAAATGGAAAATCAGTTAACTCACACCAGATACAATGAAATACTACCCACATTAGTAGTCACTGATGAGGTTAGATGGAAACATTCCTTGGGTGATGGAGAAGTCAGTTCTGCAGATGCTTGTTCATTTGTTTAGCAATCAAAGCTGGAAGTTTTATAGGGAAAAAAAGATTAGGAATGAAGTCGTTCACTGTCAAAATCTTACACTAAGTGGAGGCTAATTAACTGTTGATGACTTATTCAAAAAGTGGGCAGTGGCACTATTATTGTCTCAAAATCAACTAGTAAGTTGAAATTTGCACCTACTTCTATATTATAGTTTAGTCATATTTTTCAGTATATATGAGATCTCCAAGCTACCTTACGTTGAAAACAAGACATCTCAAGCATGGGAATAAAGTGCAGTCTAATAACGAATAGCATGATATGCCCAATAAACCTTGTTAAGGCTTTGATACCATAATAGAATGTGGACTTTAAATTTAACATAACCTAACAAAATTGGCTTATAAGATGAGTTTACACTCACTTGTATATCTAGTAGATATGGAATCTCCAACGGATGGTAATGGTGTTTTCCAAACACAATTTGATTCCTTACAACCTCCTCCTGGTTATTTACCTTCCAAATCACTTATCATAACAAGTGAACTTTAAGCCTAATCTAATATCACAAAACCAACTTATAAAGTGATATTTGCATCCAGTCATATATTACAATTTGGTTATATCTCTGGTGTGAGAACTTCAACAAACTCTAGCCATTCTATTAACAAACTATAATAACTATCCAAACTAAATCCCAACCTCCCAAGAGTTGAACATTAATTAGGGCAGGAGTCCAAGAAAAAAAGAGCAATAATGAGAAAGCTAGAAAAAATATGTCACAGACAGAGTTTTCTCTTAATTGAGACCAATTACAATATATGAAGCTACAGCTGTCTTTCCGGATGATAACAAATCAAACAGTCAAATCCATTAAAACTAAATCTAAATGTAACAGATAAAAGAAGTACTATAAATTAAGGGGGGAGACTGCTAAAAATCATGGTTGACAAGCAAATTTAGATTTTCACAACCAATCTTGTCTTTTATTTTAGTTTTGCACCAGCCTAGGTCAATAAATGTCTGTGTTCCAGCATTATCTTTCGAATCTTAATGTAGCAGCAAACTTAAGCCCATATAAAATCTTTAAAATGCCAGAAACTGAAATGCATGAACTAAGCAGTACATTAATGTACAAGTGAGCTGTACTGAGAATTTCATCATAAAACAATACACATGAAACAGCAAACACCTCATAAATCATATAAAACACAACTTATAAACAATAGATGCATGACTGTTAAGCTAATACCTGTAGCGCTCTGCTCTGTAGAGGCCTAGGTGCAAATGGAAGCGAATGCAAAAGCACCAACAAAAGTTGTGAATGCTCAAAGCGATGGCCAGAATCATAGAAATTTAGCCCATCCTCTGAAGAAGAGGCATTGATCTGAAAAGGAGAGAAAACAAAGAAAAATGAAAACATCAAAAAATGAGGACAGTAACCTGATCACCTAATGACATTTTTAAACATACATCTCGAATAAGCATTCAAAGAGACTTGAAGTCTTCTATATATTTTCATTCATTTGCATTGGGTCATGGTTAATAAGAGGACATTTTACATTAATATTAGCAAATATCCTTCTCCCTTCAACTAGTAATTTTCCTTTTCTTAAGAAAAATAGCGTGTATTTAAAAAGTCCCCCCTAAAAAAAGATCAAGTATTGAGAAATTAATTCAACAAACTGGAATGGCCAATGTCATGGTATGACTTTTTACCTTCAAATATTAAGTTTGATTTCTTTATAAATCATTTAAGCCTCTCTAAGTTTAGCTTTTGTTGGTGCTTGGAGGTTTTTTCTCTTGCATGAGTTTTGATCTGATCCCCTCATACTTTTTTTATCTTTTTGATTTTCTTTTTTATGGAGTTTTCATGTGGTGGCATGTGATTGATGGAGTTTTAAGATGCTAACCTAATTGAGTTGTTAAATTCTCATTGTGATGCCTAACATGATTTTATAAAATAAAAGAAGAATAGGCTTATAGTGAATAAATTATGGTAAAGACATTGACACAACTTTTATCAAAAAATTGTAAAATGAAAGGACAATTGCCATATCATGAAGGAAGGTAGCCATACCGAGGCGGCCAACAAAGATGTGTAAACATTGTTGGTCATTAGCCTGTTGGGTGCTGCTTCAAATGCCTTTTGTAAAGCAAAAAGTAGAAGAGAGACCTTGTCTTCAAACATAGTACCACCTTTGTCATGGAGTCCAACACCCAAAAGGTTGCTTGTTGTATCAGGACCAGCAGAGGAACCAATTCTCAGATGTCCTGAAGCTACTAATGCACCTAAGAGACCTATGATTCCAACAACAATCCCATCACTTTTATCAACATTGTAAACATTTTTTCTAGCACTGTCTGCACTAATGGATAGGCTTATGCCTCCCAAATTCTTGACAGAAGGAATTTCAGAGGCAAATACAGGAGAAATAGGATCTGGGCTACTGCCACTATCAACAGATAGAGAACCGTGGTCATTGTCTTGTAAGATGGCTTCATTTTTCTCCTTCGATCCTTCATCCTCTTGACTTCCTTTTGTCATTTCATTACCACCATCAATCTCAGTTTTGTGAAGTTTAGGATTCGTTGACCATGAATCCAGGACACCATTATCTCCAGCTTTAGCTTCCCTCTGGAGCAGAACAAGAAGAGTTTCTACACCACCACATGCCAGGAATTCTTCTGCAAATGTGTGAGCTCTAGATGCATTTGGCTGGACAACCAATCTGTAGAAAAGATGCAGCACCCTAGCAACCTGAAATTGAAGAAATAATTAATTAGTACAGTTTTATTAAAATAAAAATAAAAGAATCAAACCAAAGAATTTATATTATGTGTAACTGTTAGGTTCCTAGGTAGAGGAACCCAAGAAAACTACTGTAAAACACCAAAGTCACTGAAAATATCTGGTATTATTGATTCTAGGCACCCAAAAATAGCCAGAATGCCTCCAAGGGACAAAGTTCCCTTCACACAGAATGGCAATGATCCTGTCAACAATTCTCTAAACATCCAAAAAACCTCCCCCAGCCTACAAAGACTCCCCATTATATAAAGAAAGTCTCACTCATCCTAACAACCCAACTAACAACTAATTTTTTAATTTGTTTCTTCCTATCATACACATTATATCCTATCAGTAACACTCAAGATTTTACAAACTTCAAAATAACCACTTAACATGAGATCCAGAACATGAAGATTACATGCATTAAATATATTGCAATCTAACACAACATACCATAAAATATAACCTATTAGAGTTAAGCTAGTTAGGTTTGCAACTTGTATGGTGATGCCATAGCATTTTCTCCTTTCATTAGAAAAGGGAACTACTACAGATATTCAGCTAGCTTGTTATTTCACAACTGTTGTGCCTTACTGTGCCATGAAAAATGCAGCCCAACTCATGCCTTTCACAAGTGTGGTCAGAACTGAAACAGATGAGCACAACCTTATCATCATGAATGCAGAGACTGATATCATATCAAGATCCTATAACCACCATCACCAAGTCAGTGTCATCAACTACAAGCCAGGGTTTCCATAGCAGTACCACCCGATGATGGGATTGCAGTAGTTGAACAAAATTTCATTAGACTTCAATGGCATTGTAAATTTATCGTTGCAGATTATGAAAGCCACCTCTCCATGTGGCCATGGCAGAAAAAGCAGAGTAGGCACTATTTTTTTCAAGACATATAAGTGTTTTGGTTACGGGATTCAAAACACCTTCACAACATGCACTGTGGACAAATGACCAATGCACTGCAAGACAAAATGAACTATGCAACCACATCCACCAGCTCCCGGGATTGTGCAACCTGTCCAGCCCATCTCTGGCCAATGGCCACATCTCCAGCAAACAGCCCATCAATATCTCTCCATGCAGATTGTTGAGACAAAAAAAATTGATACTAGGTGCTTTTTCCTCTCTTTATAGTACTTTGTACCCCTTGTTCTGAAGTTCAATTCTGATGTAACCTCTCTAGCCAACTGTGCATTATCTCTATTTGTTATCTTGAGTACCAGTTTATGTTCCTTTCTATTTTCTAGAGCCATTATTTCCTCAGTTTCATCTATGATCCCTCTGCACATTTTTCCCTTTACATTGTTAATAGATACTTTTTGTTGAATTTTATTTCCTAGAACACGTTTCTAGTATATTGTTTTAGATATATGTTATTAGTTTTTCTTATTTATTACATTCAACAATTTTTGTTCTATACCTTATATATATGTCTCTGTTAGTGTTATGCCAACATCGCTTGTCATATTATTGCCATGTACCCTAAAGGTTGCCAAGTCACAAGGGAACAATGTCACCATACCAAAAGAGTGCTGCATAGAAAAGAGTCTCTGGCTGAAAGGAACTAAATGATAACACCCATTTGAATCGTAAAACAAAAAGAAAGGTTCTTTTTATATAATAATATTGGAAGAGATAGATACAAGACATACTCAAACATGAAATACACTACCAAAACCCTGAAATAAGTACCTAACACAAAAAAAAAAAAAAATAGTCTTCTAAATGATAAAATTTTAATAATAAAAAGGTTCAGTTGATAACACCAAACAAGCAATCATCCATCCAGAAGCTATATAAGAAAGAACCAAAGAAAGGTATACAGTGAAATTATATTCTAGCAAATGCATTTATAGCATTGACAGGAGCCATATGTCTGTGTCATTGTAGTATCCTGTCTGACAATTCTTATTGCCCGCACAAAAAAGAAAACCACTTAAGTGTTACTGCTTTACCTGGTTAGGTTGTGGACAGTCAACCATGAATCCAAGTAAACATCGGACATCATTTGAGGCCAATGAAGGAGATGCAGCCACTATTAGAAGTTCAACAACCACCAAGAGCTCATCAACCAAAGCATTGATTTCACCTACTGGACGTGTAGACCCAGTTAGGGAAACAGTATTTAACGAATCAATTTCGGGAACAGTCCAATAACATCTTCTGCAGCCATCAAGAAGCATCTGAATGGCATTAGCATTTCGCATTACCATTGACTCAGTGAAAACCATATCTGCAAGAGATGATAAAAGCTTCTTTTGTATGCCGTAACTACACAAACTCCAAATTTTTAAATCTAACAACAGTGTAGTGAAGAGCTGCACTTTAAGTGCATGGTTGATCTTCTGAGATTGACAAAGGGATACAACAGCAGCAACAAGTTCCTCATCTTTTACACCATCATGCTTTCTAACATCAAGTGAAGATAGAGTTCGGAGAAGATAATTTAAAATTTTTGATAGAACCTCTGGTCCTCTACCACGAGCCAATTCTTCATTGTTCCTTGGATGTTGAATAGCTGTGGATATAATTCTAAATATTGAGGCAGCCAGAGAAGTGGTGGCTGAAGACAAAGGTGACCTCCCTTGCTGAGGTTCCAGAGTATTTTCATGTAGATTGCTTATAGTCAAAGGAAGCAAAGACAAGGGACCACCATAGGACAATGCCCATAAAGCATCCACAGGACGCATTCGTGTAGCAACGTGGACTTGCCCAAGAACCTCAGCTGGACGACGAAGAGTTCCTGAATCATTATAATAAAGGAACTATAAGAAGACTGGACAACAATACAGAAAATTTTATACACCTTCATTATAAAAGAAATTTTATATTGCAATGACAGTAGATATATCTTAAAAAACCTAGGATGAAAGCTTTAAATACAGAAATGCTTATTACAGATAATTTTCCCAAGACCAATGCTTTTGTGATCCAACAAAAGACTACACAAAGACAACTATACAAGATAACCTCACGAGACAGCTTAATCACAGATAGAACACTAATAGTATGTCTATTTCTCAATGAATTTCATACCATTTACCCACCCTTTAATTTGGTTAATATTCATTGAAAGACTTTTTATAAACAATAATAATACAACTTTATATGCATGGATATGAGCTTAATGCAAGCCCCTAACTGATCTGTTCTTGATTCCCAAAAATAAAACAGTTTTTGAATTATATAGTTTTAAAACAAAAGAAAATAAACTTTCAGAAATCAAGAATCAAAGACTTGGAATTAGAGTAGAAGCATCCTGAGGAAAAAGAAAATTTTTCACTACTACAGATTAGAGAAGAACCACCATTGTGATGATTACAAACACTAACCGAAAATATAGTAAATCACTTTTTATTTCCATCATATAAATCCACAAACTAACCTTCGAACAATTATTTACCAGGTACCAGGGCCTTTCTGCACGACAAATCAATATGCATTTATGCAGTGTTTAAAATTCATTACTCATGTATTATCATAAAAGAATCAATAGAAATTATCAAACCTGAAGCACCAGAGGGTGAAGCATCAGGACAGAAACGCCCACTGAGCAAACTGGGATGATAGAGCAGATGAAGGCAACCTCCTATATCTGCATCCAAAAGCACACTTTCCTCTGCCTTGTTCTGCACATACGCATTTGTGGCTAGCCATGGTAGCCCAGCAGCATTACCAAAAGAAGGAACTATATCCCCACCTCTAGAAGCCATGCATGACATTCTTTCTGGGCCAATTGGTTCCTTGAATATGTAAACAGGACCCATCTCAGCAAACAGAGGACATTGGCGACGGCGGCGTTGCAAACCAGCCATAGTAGGAGGAGGGTTAGTTCCTATGCAGCAAAAGGCAAGAGGTTTGGAAATTCGAGGGAACTCAAAAGGGCGACTTTCATACAAAGATCCATCTATATACAATCTGACTTCACTTTCTGCTTTCCCAAGAATTCCATGCTTGCCTATATGTTCAAGACCAATGAAGTACCAGCATTGTGGTTTGAAAGCATAGGTAAAATGCAAAGAAGATTTCTTTCCCTTTCCACTAGCAGTTTCAACAACCAAAAATTGAGCATGGAAATAAGCCTCTATACCCTGATTATCACCGGATAAAAAACTGAACAGCCTTGGCATGTGTGCTGTACCTTCACCAGCAAGTGCACTAGCTGCAGCAGCAGCTGACATAGCTGATGATTTACCAGACCTAGCTGCTGCAGCAGCAGCAATTGCAGCAGCAACTGTAGCTGTATTTAATGTGTCTGCAAATGATTCAATGTAGATCCATGTTGCAAAAGCATATCCATTGATAAATGGCCAACGGCTTTCGCCTGGACCAAGCAAACCAGAACTTTCACCATCAAACTCAAAGGTGCAAGCTGGTCCCATTGACTCCTTTCCACTTATTGCCTTCTCCAATGCTAGTGTTAATCGAGGAGCCCAAACTGTTGTAAGTGTTTTTGTAATTACTTGAAACCATCTATAAAGATCACTCACATTGAGAGAATGACCAGCTAAATATTGTATGCAGTGACACAAAGGAGTTCCATCCCACCTCATTTGACCATTCAAGCCAACATCCACAGTGAAAATTTTTTCTGCTGTTCTCAACAACACTTCTAACAATCCAGCCATTGAGCACATTGCTCTATTTCTAGTACAAGCCCTTAATATCACAAGTAGTCCCCTT